GCCCCCGTTGCTTAGAACAAAGCGATAGAGTGAAATCTTTCCCATAAACTGCGCTGGGACGGCTTGCGGGAGAGCTCGTGGGTGATTCCCGTTTACATTATGAAGCAGAGGTTCAAACTCCAGTCCGAACACCACTGGCCACGAGCTTTGGGCTCTGCTATTTATTTATATAGCATATTTTATTTTAGATCAACTAGAAACAATGTTTCATTTATAAAGTTTTATTTTGAACTGTAAGTCAATAACAATTGGCTGAAGCCAGAGCCAATGGTGAAAGTCTTTGCGCGAAGAGACCCCGCCCCATTTTGGAGGTTCTGCCCACTTTTGGAGTTCACGTCCCATTTTGGAGATCTCCGGTCTGCAGTTATACCTACTTGCCTTTCTTGAGTAATGCATTTTAAAACAATGGAAAATATACTGTAAAGTTTACTGTAATTTGGTTTGCTTCACTTTTCAGTTACTGTAAAACTATATGCACAAATTGCAAAATTAGCAGTTCCATTAAATAACAATGGGGGGGAAACAATGGCAACTGTGTAACTTCATATTTCAAAATTTTCCCAATTTATTTATACACACATTTATTTTTTTTATTTTTTATTTTTTTAATTTCTGCAGGTTTGGTCCTCCATAACCTAACTGTCTAATCTATATATAATATATATACAACTTTTTTTTTTTTTAAGAAAATAGTTTTATTCAGCAAGGACACATTAAATTGATCAAAAGTAACACCAAAGACATTTATAATGTTACAAAAGCTTTATATTTCAAATAAATGCTGTTCATTAGACTTTCTATTCATCAAAGAATCCTGAAGAAGAAGAAGAAAAAAAAAGTATCATAATTTCCACAAAATATTAAGCAGCACAACTGTTTTCAGCATTGTAATAATAAGAAAAGTTCCTTGAACTGAGTAATGATGCTGAAAATTCAGCTCTGCGTCACAGGAATAAATAAAATCTATTAAAAGAGAAAATAGACAATTTAAATTGAAAAAAAAATATATATATATATATATATATATATATATATAAATAATACAACTTCAGAATGTGTTTATGTATATATATACATAGTGTGTGTGTGTGTGTGTGTGTGTGTGTGTGTGTGTACATATTAGTGCTGTCAAACGATTAATCGCAATTAATCACATCCAAAATAAAAGTTTTTGTTTGCATAATATATGTGTGTTTTGTGTATGTTTATTATGTATATATAAATACACAAGCATACAGTATATATTTCAGAAATATTTACATGTCTTTACATGTCTATATTTATATTTATATATTTCATATATAAACATAATATATTTTTCTGAAATATATACATGCATGTGTGTGTATTTATATATACATAATAAATATACACAGCACACACACATATATGTAAACAAAAACTTTTATTTTGAATGTGATTAATCCAATATTAACACACACAGACACACATACGCACACACACAATAATTAATAGACTATAAAAAGAAAAAAATTTAACATATACATTGTGACAACTTGCCCCAATCTTTGTCCTGAGAACATACATCAATTTTTCGGTTCCATCGCTTTGTATTATAGCTGATATTTTATATAGCGTTTTAACATCTTGCTTTAGTATGTGTGGTTTTAATGCTTTTTAGAGTTTTGTGTCCTCGTATTTAACTTCTATTACAAAAATATAATCCTACACTCTTAAAAATAAAGGTGCTTCAAAAGGTTCTTCAAGCGATGCCATAGAAGAACCATTTTTGGTTCCACAAAGAAGCATTCAGTCAAAGGTTCTTTAAAGAACCATCTCTTGCTTATCTTTTTATAATCCGAAGAACCTTCTTTCGCCACAAAGAACCTTTTGTCAAACAGAAAGGTTCTTCAGATGTTAAAGGTTCTTTATGGAACCATTTAGACAAAAAGGTTCTTCTATGGCATCGTGAAGCACCTTTATTTTTAAGTGTAATTTAAAAAATAAAAATAAAAAGTTTTGAAGTACCTGTTTGAATCCAAACACTACTAGATAATTTATGCAAAAAGCCCTTATAGTCAGCACTGCAAACATGAAACTATCAGTCAGTTGATGCTTTCGCATGAGAATGCTTGATCCTAACAACATGCAAGTGTTTCTTTCTCTGTCCCATTGTCTTACAGTAGCCAGGTTGAGCTCCCCACCCCCAGCTCTTTCCGCTCACACAAGAGCCTGGAGAGCATATGTTTGACCCACAGTCCCAGTGAATGTGGCCATCTGCTCGGGATTCCATATGATCCGGGCCCTGTGTGAGAATGCGCCTGGCTTTGTAAAAACTCACTAGGCGATGTGGGAGAATCTTCCCCGCACACAATAGAGAACAGTAAGACAGTTTTAACCCTTTCCCTGGTTCGCCTCTCTCAAAGGACGCCTCCCTGAACCATTGTCCTCCCTGACAAGTGAATAGTGAACAGAATCAGTTTCTTGTTACTGAACTGTCAAAAGCTTTCGTGGGATTCAGTTTCAACTCTACATAACACCAACAGGACCCTCATTTGTAAGTAAATATGTAACTTTAGTGTAGAGACACAGGTCATTCAAAAAAAATAATTTTTTTTAAAAGACAATGCTATAAATAACTCTGTCACCACCAACCTGTTAACACTTTGAGGGATAGGCAAATAGGAGGTTAACCAGATAAAACAAGGGACTTCTCATTTCCATACTAGACGTGATGTGCTCACACCTCCCCCAACCACAAGCCACAATAAATGAAGGACGAAAAAACCCACGGCCCTGATGAGATCCAATAATCAAAGCACAATTTAGCAAATCAAGTCATAATGTATGACTATGGATGAATTACTTAATCGTAACATGCTAAATGCGGTTTAGCTTATTGTGTAACAAAACTACTCCAGTGTCCATAATTATTTCTGGTTTAGGTTTAATAGAACTTTACGTGACTGAACTTGGAGCTTCTTTTTTTCAGTTATCGTCATAGGCATTCAGAGTTTTGGAAATAAGTTCCTTTGGAATATTGGAAGGAATGATTCATGCAAAAATCAGTGAGCAAAGAATTCAAAAATAATTTTTTGTCTGAACGTCAATCACTGAATTCACAAAAACTCAAATACCTTTGCGTTCCACAACCTTACAGGTTTTGAGTGATGTGAAAATTGTCATTGTTTACCATCCCCTAATTTTTTTTTGGTTGAACCATCCATTGAAGAGAACACCAGGAGTCAACGTTAAACAACAGGGTTTATTTTCAGTACAAAATGAGAGGGGCAGCAGGGAGAAGAAATCAATATATTAAACTTAATACAAACGTTATAAAAAAAAAAAAACGCGTTTTCTATAAATACAATAAAATAAATTATTAAAAAAAACTAAAATTAAAGAAAAAGGATATTAAGTTACTTGAAACTCTCCATCATGTAACAAAGCCAACAAGGGCATTTCAGACAATCAGATGCAAAAAAGGGACCGTCTGGGGTCGGGATTGCGCGTGATCGTCTTCGGCGTTGTGCACGAAATGGCAGCGGATGCCGTAGGGGCAGAAGCCAATGGAGTGGAAAGTGCGGCAGGGCTCAGTCTTGTATTTCGGGTGACGGTTGAGGTCTCGCAGCTCTTCGGGGCCGTGCGCGAACTGACACTTGCCACCGTATTTGCACACGCCTCTTTCGGCGAACGTGCGGCACAGCTCGGTCTTGTAGCGTGACGAGGTCACAGAAACCGAAGACGTGGAGCCGGAGAGGGAAACGGCACCTGACGTGACTGAAGATTGCTTTAAATGGCCGGGTTCAGCAGAAGACCAACCCAGACTTCCAGTGTTGCCCTCCACCATGCTAACAGAGCGTTCGGACCAAAAGGACATCTTGGTCCACTTTGACGGAGATGATGCTTTCTGGGGGCCCCAGTAGCTTGAGTTCATGGCCCCGCTCTCAATGCTGTCAATAGAAAGTCCTGAACTGGTGGAGGAAAGCGTGCAGGGACTGTCAGGCTTCCTATATCCAACAGCAGCTGCGTGTGAGGGTTTCATTGGCTCTCGAAGATCAAGATTTAAAAGGTGCTGTAAGGAAAAGAACAAAAGGGTTAGACATCTTGAAGTAGACGACAGTCTGGCAGTTTGCAGTAAAAACATACTTGCTGCTTTAAATCAAAGTCAGCAAACAGAAGCAAAGGAGTCTGACTCCCTTTTGCAAATCTCGTCTTTCAAAAGAACCGGTTCAAAAATGATTCCTAACACTCCAATAAAAACCGATACATACGTACAATGTCTATTAAATTTTAACAAGGTATATTTTACATGCATGCATGCATTTAAATCTTAAATGTGTATGTAAAGTGAACGCAAACTAAAGTTTGATTTTAAATCGCGGTCTCTTTATTGCTGCTTTCAATATTTTTTTTTCCGAATTGGTGTTCGACTCGTTTACGAATCGTTCTAATGAGTCGGCTCACTCGAACCTGTTGAAAACAACTGAATAATGTTTGCAAATACTGAACTGGTGAGCAAGCTGTATGTATTTATGCATGCAGCTTGCTCACCAGTTCAGCATACATACATACAGCTTGCTCACCAGTTCAGTATTTGCAAACATGATTCAGTTGTTTTCAACAGGTTCAGTGAGCCGACTCATTAGAACGATTCGTAAACGAGTCGAACACATCAATTCGCAACAAAAAAAAATTTTGAATGCAGAAATAAAGAGACCGCGATTTCACATCTGAAACTTTAGTTTGCGTTCACTTAACATACACATTTAAGATTTAAATAAACGCCAAGTAAAAGAGAGGGGAAAAACACTTTGCATCGGCAAGTTTTTTTTACAACTCCGGGCAACCAACTTGTTTACGTTTAAAAACCAAACAATGTTAAAATATTTGCGCTCTAAATCTCAACAATGCCACAAGCAATGGTGCTTTCATGCCGTTCGGTTCAAACGCCATACATGCAAAATTAGCACAACATAACGATATTGGCTGATTCCAATAAAAAGGCGCTCACTCGTGGCCCACGTTCCCTCCCTGGCTGGGAAGTTTCTAGCAAGCTGCATTTCACTTAACCGATTAGATCAGTTATCGTCAACCATAAAAGAAAACCTTTGAATTGGGCATTGTACGTTTCCTGCTAAATGCATTCAAATGCACTGCAAAATTCGTACTCAAAACATGTTTCGTGCACATTTCGCTACGTGATCGGTCTCAAAACAATCACACTGTCGTTTTTAATTTATACAACTCTAAATATACCTTGCACAGGACATCCTCCAGATCAATAAACTGATTGAGTGCGTAGGATGGCATAGTCCTGCGTGGCGAAGGCTTTATTAGGCGATTCCTCTGTGATCCCACACAACTCCCTCGTAGTTTTTCCTGAACTCCACGCGTTTCTGCTCAACACGTGTTTTTAAGGCTGCTGCGCGGCGACCACACCTCCGCGTTCTCCTCGCTCCGCCCGCGCCGCCCGCTCCACGCTGAACTGTACAAAGCGCGCAAACGAGTTGTTTGTTCTTGTTTATAGGCTATTCAAATAGAATAGGCCTATATACATTTATCTTGCATCAGAATTGTTTTGGGGATGTATAATAATTATTATAAAACCTAGCCAGGTTAGTACCTAGCCAGGATGGCCATATCACAGTAGGCCTAAATACATGTTTCAAGTCAAAACACCCAAAAAATAAATATAAGTTCATCCAGTTCCAGTGCTATCAAATTCAGTAGCTGATGGTAAACATGCCCCTTGCTTTTGGGTCATGTTATCACAACAACTTGCCTTGTGTAAACTCAGACTATTCAGCAAGGTTATATATTTAAAAAGTGAAGTAGGCTACATCAGAAACAGTAATATTGTGAAATACGGTTACAGTTTAAAATAACTGTTTTCTATTTTATTGCATTTTAAAATGCAATTTATTCAGAGTTTTCAGTCTTGCATGATCCTTCGGAAATCATTTAATATGCTGATTTGCTGCTCATGACACCTTTTCTCTGTTATAAGCAATGTTGAAAACAATTTTAGAGAGAGAAAAAAAGAAATGCATTGTTTTATTCTACAAGGAGCACATTGATCAAAAGTGACAGTAAAGACATGTATAATGTCACAAAAGATTTCCATTTCAAATAAATGCTGTTTTCTTGAACTTTCTATTCATCAAAGAATCTTGATCAAATTATTTCACCAAAACAGCAAAAGCTGATCAGCAATGATAATAACAAGGACCATTGTTACCAATATTATTGAGCATCAGCATATTAGAATGATTTCTGAAGGATCATTTGATACCGAAGACTAGAGTAATGATGCTGAAAAATTTGCTTTGTCATGACAAATTCATTTTAAGTTGTAATAATATTTCACAATATACAGTTTTACTGTATTTCAAATAAATGACTTGGTGAGCATAAGACACTTAAATCGTAATTATTCCAAACTTTTTACCAGTACTATTCACTTTTTCTTTACTATGCATTGAGTCTCACTCAATGACTATTGTATCTTAAACCCAATTAGTTTAAGAAAACATTGTTTGAGGCTATTGTGAATGATGTGACTGTGCTAAAACATCTCAAGGTTTGATCACGCCACCCTGTCAGACCTGGAGACGACGACCCTCTGAGGTGCTTTGATACAACCTAGCGAAGGTGTTAAAAGTGTCACCCGCTGGTGAAGAGGTTGACATTAAAGCAATTTTATATCCCTTTTCCTGGTGGCCACAGACCTACTGATCAGCTGATCCCACTGTGAGAGGAGACAGATATGAAGACCTGCCGGTGCAGACATCAACTAAGGTTCTCTAGTCTTTTGGTTAGCAATTAAACCTTGAGTCCAAACAGTGACTTCATTGGACCTACAGTTTATAGTAGTATTTTTGGGACAATGCATATGGGTCTGTATTCATCAATAGACCTTGAGCCAGGGTAGTGCCATATTGAATTTTTGACAGGAATGAAAATGAGACTGTGAGGGACTGAAGTATGGTTTGTGCTGTTGTTTAACATGCCAATTGTTCAGCTGATGAAAGTCTTTCTAAAAAATGTTCAATAGAAAAAAAACTCCATAACAGATTTAGTGGAAATTACATGATCTAGGACCTTTATACAGTGTATGCCATTGTAAAGACTGTAAGTCTATCCCTCATTGTTTTCATTCATGTAAAATTCAATATGACGGCTAAACTGACTAACATCTGGTTACCACAGCTCATGATGATTATCAGTCCAACACTCTTAAAAATAAAAGTTCCTCAAAGAAACTTTCAGTAAATAGCTCTGCAAAGAGACGTTTTTTCCTACTGTGCAGAATGTTTAAAAAATCTAAAGAACCTTTTTTTTCGCTAAAAAAAAACTTTTGTGGAATGATAAGTTTCCACAGTCTTAAAAATAAACTTTTTTTGCATCAATGATGAAGAACCTTTAACATACATAAAACATTTCCATTGGACAAAAGTGGTCTTTAGTGGAAATAGGTTCTTTAGATTAATACAATGTTCTTCACTCTTAGAAAATAATGGTTCTTTTAAGAACTGATCACTGAAAGGTTCTTTAAGGAACCAAAAAAATGGTTCTTCAATGTGAAACCCCCAGTTTTTGAACATTTATTTCCAAGAGTGCATGGATGTTAAAGTTTCTTCATGGAACCATCTAATGTCAATAACGGTTCCAAAAACGGTTCCATTTTCTACAGCCATGCCAAAGAAGAACCATTTTTTGGTTTGCCAAAAGAACCTTTCAGTGAAAAGAACCACGTTTTTCTGACTGTCAAGAACATTTTAAAATTCTAAAGAATTATGGAACCATCTATATTCCAAAAGAACCTTTATTTTTAAGAGTGATAAAAAGGGCACAGAAAGGCATTAAACCATTTCACTTTAAAAAACGAACTTTAATTTAATAGTCTCCGCTCTCTATATTTTAAGGTGGCTTGTTAGTGACTGTAACTTTACTCTCTCACCATGTTGAGCCGCACTAATAAGATTTCCCCCTTTGTTAATGAAAAGCAGACCAAAATGCGAAGGGAGGAGGTTCCAACAAACCAGTATGTCATCTTATGAAGGACGTGTTGAGACACAAGGGCTCTTGTGAACTAGCTGACTTAAGTCTAATTTCCATCCATACGGCTGTAACTTTACCTCACCACCAAACAAAACGGCTACTCTGTCTAATACCTATTGTTAAAGTTCCTGCAAGACTAGCTTATAATTAGAAACTTACTTATATGAGGAGGTCAAGGAAGCGGAGACTCATTACCGTTCTAATAAGGAAAAACATCAAGTGCTTTAGACAGAGAGTGATGTAATGGTTCAGTAGGAGATATGGAGGAATAAATAGAGAATAGACTTGTAAAGAATGGGAAAAGTCAAACTTCAGAAGTCCTCGCTGCTCATTAGAGGCCCAGATGATTGAAATCTAAATACCTGGCGGACTAGAACACTAAACATGTTGTCTTTGGGTCATTAGTGTGTGATGGACGGACATCTGGTCAGTTTGTTTTGGGTACTTGGAAGAAGCATTAAGGGGCTTCAGTGTTTGCTGCGATGTTGTTGTCAGGCAGGGTGTGTGGTTAGGGAAGAGGGAGCTTTTGGGTGGGTTGGTGGGTTGGTGGGTGGGGGGGTGTTTCCCTCCTGCTCCAATGATTGAGCAAAAGACTTTAGAACATAATGAGTAAAAAGTTCTTGGGCTAAAAAGCCTCCCCCGACCCCCAGGGGAACAGAGGAGTGGTAAAAGAAGGAGGTGGGGGCAGGGAGGGGTGATTGTTTAGGGAAAGGGGAGAAATGGCTGAAGACCCTCTCTGGTTTAATCCTTAATCACAACAGTGTCAGGGGCCAAAAAGGAACATCACCCGAAAAGACACCCCCAGATTTTGCTGCACTCATCCCAGATGACCAGAAAGGAAATTATTCAACAAACCACACAGCCGTGTGCAGCAATGTGTACAATCTACGACATACACAACCGTTCAGTACGATTTTCTTTCTTTTTGAGAGAAATTCATATTTTATTGAGCAAGGATGCATTGAACTGATCAAAAGAGACGTTTGCTATGTTACAAATGAAAGCTGTTCTTTTTGAGCTTTCTATTCATCAAAGAATCCTGAAATAGAAAATGTATCATCATCGCTTCCACAAAAATGTTAAGCACCACAACTGCTTTCAACATTGATAATAATAAGACATGTTTCTTGAGCAGCAAATCAGCATATTAGAATGATTTCTGAAAGATCATGTGACACTGAAGACTGGGGTAATGATGCTGAAAATACAGCTTTGCATCACAATGGTAAAGTACATTTTAAAATATATTAAAATACAAAACTGTTATTTGAAATTGTTATAATATATCAGAGTATAACTGTTTTTACTTGTTTTCTTGAACTCAAACCTAAACTTTTGAATTGCAGTGTATGGACAAATTTGGCACAATTGTTTTGTCCTATAATTCCTGATTGAAAATTATATTTTTGATCATTTTGGGGGGTGGGATTGATATGGGATTGAATTAAGGGGGAAAATAATTAAAAGAATGACTCAATAAGCACTGATTTTTTATAATTGTTCTATACGTTTTTATTTTAGTTATTAAAATGTTGTATATTAATATTTAATTATTTTTAATATTATTCATATTTTAAAAACCTTTTATCCAACAAAACACTCATGTGGTTTGACTGGCACAAAAAAAAAAACGTAAAACTGCCCTGCAAACCCAAAAGACTGTAAAGTTCAGATTGCAAAATGCCATGTGGTGTAACTTATAGGTTAATATTTGTTTAAAAAAAACACTCAAAAATTTATGTACAAGTATTCAATGTGTAATTAAAATATGTTATTGCTTTTTTCTTCATGGTTAAACAAAATCACATTTTTGGAGTCATTCAACTGAAACCTTTCTTAAAAAAGTATTTCAAAACATATGAAACCACAATGAATAAAAAGAACATTTCTAAGGACTTAAAATGTTTGTTTAAAGCAAGATTTTTTTTGTTTATCGTGGAAACTCTTATTTTTCATTGACTCCCTCGCATCGTTATAAACACATAAAAAATCCCCCAAACAAAGTCCAGAAACTCAACAAGTGTGCTCTCATATGACCTTAATCCATTACCGTGCACCACATGCCATTACAAATGACCTGTAAACGTCCCAAGAATGATGTCAATCAACTTGTAATGGGCTCTGCAGCTGCAGAGGACCAACCTTGCAAATGGGAAGCCATTACATGACATAAAACCTCAGCTCATGGATTCCAGCGGTCTCGAAACAAACCAAAGCCACAACAAGATAGCTTTGCCTTGACAGGGATCTCCATCCTTTAGCGGAGCATGAAAAGAATATTTCACACCCGCCTCTCAGGGCTGTTCTCATGCAAATGCAGTAAACGCATGGGAAACGCACACGGGCGTGAGGG